CCCACCTCTGGCAACAAGGCACCAAAATGTACATTTTTATAACTGAATCCAGTTGGTGGTCATAATAACAACATAATGAAACCAGCAGCAAATATTTTGCAAGAAAAATGGATATTCCTTGTTTAAATTATTTGAGATGCCTAAGTAAAGGGAAGAGATTAAAGAGGGATTAGCTTTTGTTGTATTTACCTCTAATAGAAATCACACACAAAGGAAAAACATAGACTACTCTTCCCAAGTACACAAGGACCTGCTCCAGATAGAATCTGCCTGCGTAACAGATGCTCCCAGGAAGGTCAATAGATGCCAGTCCCTTCCTGTCAGCAAGGCAAGACATGTCCAAACAGGAGATATAAATCATGAGTGCTAACATTACCTTCACTGCAAGTTTACAGTAACAGGATCTTGCCAGTCTTCAAGTACTGCATTTGCCCCCTCCCTTGAATTTACTTTCCAGAGAAATGGGGGGGGGATGTGGGGTCTTTTCTGAGATGCTTTGAACATTTCTTTTCCTTCTCTGCCCTGAGATACCATTTGCATGACAGTTGTCTAAGATGGGGCTCTTCCCAGGGGTGGGCTTCAAAAATTTCAGCAACAGGTTATCTGCCCGATTGCTGGGTGGGTGTGGCCCTGGTGGGTGTGGCCTAGCCTGCCTCCTGCACCACAGCGAGGGGGCTGTTTTCGCCTTCCCCAGACTCCGGTGGCTTTCCTTGAGCCTCTGGGAGGGTGAAAACTGCTTCCCCCAGGCTCCGGAGGCCCCCCAATAAGGGGAAGGCCCTTATGGAACTTCTAGGAGGGCCATTTTCCCCCTCCCCGAGCTTCCGCGCGGGCCCTGCACTTACCTCTCATCCAAAATGGGCCTCGTGGAGACTCCTGGGAGGGGAGGGGAGGGGGGGCAACCAAGGATGGGATTTGGAGGTTCTCTGAATCAGCCATAACATTAGCTATGGGCGAACCCATAGCAGTCTACCCCTGGCTCTTCCTCCTGTCTCCAAGGTCATTCCCACAGCTCATTACAACTTCTCACTCACTGAGAGATATAACAGCACAACCTCTGCAAAGAGGAAACACACAATTTGCTAGATAGCTGACACCGTATCACATTCCAGGCCATGCACACGCATAGGAAAGAGGTGGGGCTTCAATTGTGGCACAATGCCTACCATTTTGCCCATTTTTACTCCAGTATGAATATCCCTGGATAGGGCCCTGGAAATAAGAAGACTCTGATAGGACATCCTTCCTTTGAGAAATTTGTCCCTGGTATGGGGTTGGCTCTATTCCCCAGAACATTTTGAAAAATGGTTAAAAAAATTTTTTCATGGAACTTTCCCAGTTTTCCCATTTATTTATTTTTTCATAGAACTACACGGATGTTATTCCTATCTTTTGAGAGAAGAGTATTATGTAGAAAAGGAATTTAATAAATATTTAGACATGTTTTGTCAGTTGCCAAATTTTTGGCTATTTGTAGACTATTTTTCTTTACGGATTATATTCTGTATACTGCTCAGTTGTCAGACTGAACTGAGGTAGAAATCTCAGTAATAAAGGGTCATTTTAAATTAAATTTATTAAATTAAATATTAATTGTTTGTTAAATTTTAAATACAATTTAAATTAAATGTTTAATATTAATTCATTAAATTAAACATTTACTATTAAATTTTAATTTTAAATTATTTACTGATTAGAGTTATAGAATCTCCCAGATTTTAATGTGTGTTAGAAATCAAACTTTAAGAGTAGTACTCTTAAATCAGATGGCACTTTTAAGAAAATGATCAGAACATTCAATATTTAGGATCGAAACCATACTGGGAAAATAATTATTCTCTGTAGTTATAAAGACTCCTGCATAACAAGATAAATGCTAAAGAACACTTTAAAGGAATGTTAAAACGTGGGAAGGCTAGTTCAACATTTCAAGTAGAGACCAGCTAAGTCATCCTCAGAAGATTGAAGAATGGATGGAGAATAATTAACTAGGTGGAATACTAATCTAACAAAATTTCTAAGACTTTTTTTATCATTAAGGATCTAACAATTAGGCAGCAACCTTTTTTTTTTGTTGTTCTGGTATTCTGGAAATCTGCTTTAGATAAAGGATTTATTTGTGAATGTTTGTTCTTTTCTGCCTGGAAATATTTTTTATTTTTTTTTACAGAATAAAGCAAATTGTTAGGATCACTTCAGATTATCCCAATTCAGTAGGACCACACTGTTTTGGAAGAAACAGAACATGCACACATTCAAATGTTGAAGAAATCCCCCATGGAAATCCCCCAGTACGGTTATAATCAGCTTTATGCTCCATTGCTTGAGCTCATCACTAAGCTATATTACCCAAAACTAAGGAAAGAAGCTGGTTTTGTAAGCAAATGCTTGCAAATGAGTTTGAGACCCATAAAATACCCTGTGGGGTACATGTTCTCTACGGTGAAGATCTGAAAATCGGCTTCGCTCCAGAGCCCCACCCTGAGCAGAGAAAGATGAGCTCTAAGATCTTGCTGTGTCTCTCACTGGCTTTCTCCATCCAGGGTGAGTACATGTGCCAACTAAAGGGAACCAAGTACTTGCAGTGAGAAAGGAGAAATGTAGGGCTTGTGCTAGGACGAAGAGTAAGCATGAGGGGCTGGCAAAATCTAGACCTCTCTAGTCTTTCATGGGAATACAATGCAATTAATGAACACAGCAGAGATAATGACTGCATATAAATGGTGATGCACATCTGGGGAACTGAAGGGTAAAATAAGTATGTCTTTCTATTTATGGATATGCCAGTGGCTCAGTGGCTAAGACGTTGAGCTTGTCGATCAGAAAGGTCGGACATTCGGTGGTTCGCATCCCTAGAACTGCATAACGGAGTGAGCTCCCATTACTTGTCCCAGCTTCTGCCAACCTAGCAGTTCAAAAGCAGGTAAAAATGCAACTAGAAAAAATAGGGACCACCTCTGGTGGGGAGGTAACAGCGTTCCGTGCACCTTCGGAGTTTAGTCATGCCGGCTACATGAGCACGGAGACGTCTTCGGACAGCACTGGCTCTTCAGCTCTGAAAGGGAGATGAGCACTGCCCCCTAGAGTCGGGAATGATTAGCACATATGTGTGAGTGGAACCTTTACCTTCATTTATGGAAAATCAGGCAGGCAGGCATCTTTATTTTTTTTCCGGAGCATGGAATAAGCAGGAATCTCAATAACAAGTAGATAGAAACAATTATTGTCACATTGGTACCATGGTACCATGTCAGTTTTGAGATGCGCTGTGCATTGTTTTCCTTCTCACTATGATTTTCTTTTAATAAACTAAACTAGAACAGAAAACACTATACTACCCTGCTTCTATCTTTCCATCATTAAAACTTCTTCTGCGCTTGACTTCTTGGAGTCTAGCTTATAGCTCTGAATTTTCCCCTCATCTCCCATCTAACTAGTTCCTATAATTAGAGTATTTTTGTTCAACCAAGATTAGCAACCAAGATTTTTGTTCAACCAAGATTAGCTAATTTTTTCCACCAAGCAAGGCTCTGGCTATTCTTTAATCAATACTGAACTAGCAGTATGGAAATTATTTCTAGCAGGTATATTTTTTTAGTTCTGTTATCAGACCGTACATTGAATACACAAATAATGAAGTGGGGCTGTGGGGTATTGAAGCTAAGATCTGTTTAAATGTATTAATGTGATTGGATAAAAGCTGACAAACATATGATGTTTATGATACACTCACAGAATGATTTTTTGTTATCATCTCTGGGATATCCATACATAACTATGCTTGGGACGAATTCTCACCAAAACCTCTGTCTAACTAGGCACGCTTAAGTTTAGTATGCAAGTCAACCAACTGACCCGTGCTTCTGTGAACAGCTGAGAGGATGGCTGTCATTGTTGAAAATCAAGATGCTACATAATGTTCTAAACAACATTCCCCTGCAGGCTTACAATGGAAGGCTGTTTTAACAATATTATTGCCATGTATTTCTCTTTCTTTTGGTTATCTTAACATAGCTTGCAAAAAAGATTGTTCTTTTTTTATTCCCCCAAAGGCACAGCCTCACATTACTACTAATTAAAAGGCTATGTCAGTGTTTTTCAACCACTGTGCCGCAGCACACTAGTGTGCCGTGACATAGTGTAAGGTGTGCCNTAGAAAGAACAATTGTATGGCAGTTTGGGAGAATGACAAGCCTCAATTATTCTTGTTTCCCCCAGGACAATCAGCAAAAGTGCCATCATCGGTCATCCTGTTGTCTGACGTTTCCCAGAAACCAGGATCTTCCGATGTCCATGCCTTATGTGTAGTTGAAGACTTCTACCCAGGCTTACTAGAGATCAAGTGGAGTGCAGCTGGGAAGGATATAACTGAGGGAGTGACCTCTGGACAAGTGACCTTGAATGCGGATGGCACTTACACTACCTCCAGCATCCTGAACATATCGCGCAATTTCTTTAACTCTGTCGCCCCTATTCGGTGCTCTGTGAATCATGAATCTTCTGGGGCCAAGATTGAACGCAGCCTGGAAGGGTGCTTGAACAAGTGAATGGCTTCACCTCAACGCCTCCCTTCTTACCTTGCTGCCACTTCTGTTTCCCCTTTAGCTCTCTGCAAAGTGTGCCCTGATGCATCCTTTGGCTTCACCCCTCAATAAAATATATATTCACTCCTTATTGCTTTCTGGTTATTTATTTATTTAGGATGTGCGTGGAAGGAAGTCTCTGGTGATTTGAATGGGGCTTGGTCAGTAGTTGCTTCCCCTTGAGTTCAGGGATACCTTGAATTCATAGAGCTTCCATATGGAAAGACTGCTCTCTGATGAAGCCATTATGCTTTCACATGGATCGCATTTAAACATGTGATGAGTTGGCACAAGCTGTTTCATCATAAATTAATCCATTGAGCTGAACTTGCATTACTTGCTAAGCTCTATCCCCACTAGCTAAGATTACTACTAACTGAACATCCCACCTTAAAAGTTACGTACATGCATCCTTATGTTGAATGCAAGTTGTTAAGTCTCACCCCCTTTATGGAAATGAAGGAATACCTTAATAAGCCTGTTGTACAAAGACATCCATGTTGTGTTCTCTGCATTTTCAGCAGCGTTGTCTCTCATTTGGTTAAGTGTGATGAGAACAGGAGACTCACTCCTCTGAAAATCTTTCCATGTTTTTTTGATCAGCCATGTTTTCCCCTTGTCACCCCCTTTCCAAATTTTGCTCTCAACCCACTCACAATGACCCACTCACAATTTTTGCCTCCCGTGTTGCTCTTCCTTAAGAGTAATATATGTGTATATCAGTGGTGGGATTCAAATTTTTTTACTACCAATTCTGTGGGGTGTCGCTTGGTGGGCGTGGCTTGGTGGGCGTGGCAGGGGAAGGATACTGCAAAATCCCCATTCCCTCCCAATCAGCTGGGACTCGGGAGGCAGAGAACAGATGGGGGCGGGGCCAGTTAGAGGTGGTATTTACCAGTTCTCCAAACTACTCACAATTTCCGCTACTGGGTCTCCAGAACTGGTCAGAATCTGCTACGTATCACCNCGATCACAGCGCGATGTTTTCATCGCGCTGTGATGACGTCACGTACGCGCTTTCGTCGAGCGCGATTTTGTTGTCCGCGGTTTTGTGGTGGAACCCCCACAATGCATATACCCTCCAGGCAGCTATTAGCGGAGTCAAATCTCCTTGCCAGTGATTCTGACAGCACTCAATTCTGTCCTATTAGTTCAGTGGGGAAACATGGAGGACAGAGTAGAGCAATTAGACCTGAATGGCCAAAGTCTTTACTACTGTCTAATAGTCATGTGGATTTTTGCAGCTAAATCTGGTAGAATTAGAACAAAATGTCCATACAAGTTCTCCAGGAACTGATATCCCACAAGCCCTTGCATCAAACGGATACCGGCAAGATAACATGATATCACTAGTCCGGTTCCAATTAGCCAGGAAGAGAGCAATACAGGTAGTCCTCGACTTATGACCACCATTGAGCTCAAAATTTCTGTTGCTAAGTGAAATATTTGTTAAGTGAGTTTGCCCCATTTTAGGACCTTTTTTGCCACAGTTATTAAGTGAATCACTGCAGTTGTTAAATTAGTCAAACTGTTGTTAAGTGAATCTGGTTTCCCCATTGACCTTGTTTGTGAGAAGGTCACAGAAGGGGATCATGTGACCCCGGGACACTGCAACGGTCATAAAAATGAGTCAGTTGCCAAGCATCTGAATTTTGATCACGTGACCACGGGGAGGCTACAACAGTCATTAAGTGTGAAAAATGGTCACGTCACTTTTTTCAGTGCCTTAGGAACTTTGGTCACTAAATGAATTGTTGTAAATTGAGGACTACCTGTAGGCTTAGCTTGACCATTTCAACTGTCTTGTGTCTGAAATGCCTATTCTGTGTCACTAAGCTTTAGCAGTGAGTTCTGTAATAGAAAGAGTACTTTTTAGATTTTCTTTTTAATGGAGGACCAGGATGGGAAAGAGTTGAATTGATATGTTTTGAGGTTCCCACCTTACAAATGACTGGATCTTTTTGGAGTTAAACATCCTTTTTTAAAAAAATTCTCACAATATATTAACCTCTCCTTGATTCAGAAGTAAGTTGTGAAAAGATGGCGAATAAATAGCAAAAATCATCCATAGAGTAAATGAAAAGGCTCAGATTCATCGGGCAGCATCTAAAGGTCAGTCTCTAAATGCCATACTTCACACCACACAAGTCACACCTTTACATATCTCAGTGTTGAATGAGTGCTGTGGCAACTAATCAGCCAATCCAGCAGACGTTTAGAGCAGGTGATCTACAAGATCCAACTCTGTTAATCTGTATCTGTAAAACCTGTATCTGTATCAGATCTCCAAAAGCAAGTGTTGACNTTTTTTAAACATTTTCTAATGGTGGTGTGCCTCGTGATTTTTTTCATGAAAAAAGTGTGCCTTTGCACAAAAAAGGTTGAAAAACACTGGGCTATGTAATACTATTTAAAACAGAATATCTATGAAATCACACTTGTGAATCTTGAAAGTCCCTTTCAAAAACATGAGCTTTGTTCACTTTGGCAGACAGATAGGCTTCGGGGCGGAGGGGGGGGGGAGGAATTGAGAGTTTTTGGGCCATGATAGAAAAGCTGCAGAAACAGAATATACTTAACATATCACTTAGCAATAGCAATAGCACTTAGATTATATACCACTTCACACTGCTTTCCTCTCTAAGTAGTTTTATAGAGTCAGCATATTGTCCCCAACAATCCAGGTCCTCATTTTACTGACCTTGGAAGGATGGAAGGCTGGGTCAATCTTGAACCCCATCAGGATTGAACTGCTGGCAGTGGGAATACAGAGTTAGCCTGCAATACTGCATCCTAACCACTGCATCACCACAACCCAATATGGCTATGAATTCCCTGTTTCGGGGAGCAGGAGAGGGTGTCAGTGGTATTGCAGAGTGTAGTGAACTCTGAGCTAATCCATTGGTCAAGATTTGGATAACTAAATAGCCAAAGCTAAAACAAACCAAGTTTGGGATATTCTGCAAATTAGAGTTGCTATGTCTTGAACTAATTTAATTAAGTGTGTTGCAAAACCAAATGAAAATGTTTTGTTTAATGGGCACAACCAATTTTCCTTCTCTGGAAAGGGAAGTTCTCCATACAGATCTGAGCAAGCAGGACGTGAGCAGATGCTTTCAAAAGAAAAATGAATCAAGGTGTTTCCAACTTGCAGCTCCGGTTACGGGATTAATCTCTGCTCCTCTTCTTCCTTCTTCAGGTGAACCCTTGCAACCTGTGCCTATCCAGCCACCTCAGGCCTTATATGCCGAGGGCTCTACTGCTGTCCTGCAGTGCCCTCTGCAAAGTGGCAAGATCCAGGGCTACCATGTCTTCTGGTTCCAGCAAAAGCCAAGCAAAAGCCCAGCCTTCATCTTGAAGCATGGCATCGATGGGCAGATACACCGATCCTCTTCATTTGATGCACGTTTTGTGCCCATCCGGGATGCCAACACCAATGCCTACATCTTGCAGATCCAGAAGGTGCAAACAGATGAAAGTGCCACCTATATCTGTCTAGCAGAGGGATATTATTTCCAGACAGCGGTCTCAGGGAGTGGAACACGGCTCATCATCACAGGAGGTGAGCAGGAGTACTGCATATCAGATGGGAATAAAGGAAAGGCACTTTCTTTCTCTGTGTCTTTACAAGGAAAGGTGGGAGGAAATAAATGCTGCTAGAATATCTGAACAAGAAAACAGTGATGAGATGCTCCTTTGAGCTGTACACCCTGAAGCGGTCTCACTCCTGAAGCTAAAAAAATTGAATATTTCGCTTCTGCCAAAGATGAGGACAGACAATCTCTAGCATTTTAAGTGTTATGAGAATCTGGGCTGCCCTGAGGCTTTAGTGCAGGGGTCCCCAACTCCCGGTCCATGCACTGGCACCAGTCCGTGGCATGCCAGAAATCGGCCTGCGCAAATAACCGGAGCCCCATCCAAGGGATGCAAGCAGCACATGAAATCACACCCACTCTGGTTTGTGGAAAAACCTCTCTCCGCAGAACAGGTCCCTGGTGCCCAAAATGTTGGGGGTCACTGCTTTAATGAGTAATAAATGGGGTTTGGTCTTATTGTGAGAACAGCCGCCGTTGGCTAAGCCTCCTGAGAACTCTACACGCAGCTGAACCAAATAACTGAAAGCTGCCAGCCTATGAAAAGCTGTATTTATAAGTGGCCACTAGATGGCAGCAAAGTTAATGTTGATATTGCTTGTTATAGTTTAGTGGTGAGTGGGCCGTATTTGCACAGTGTTCTGTTCCCATAATGCGTGACCTGTCAAAACCGCGGTCCACAAAAGCGTGCTCGACGAAAGCGCGCATTTGACATCATCACAGCGCGACAAAAAAAATTAAAAAT